GCAGAGTCACATGGCAGAGGGTCTGGAATCAGGGGTGATTAAGAATGCAGCCAGAATGGACATCGGGGAGGGTATGTGCTATGGTGAGTGCTGTGAAGTGTGTAAACTTGGCGATTCACAGACTGTACCCCTGGGGCTAATAATACATTATATGTTAATAAAAAATTTAAAAATTAAAAAAAAAATGCAGCCAGAAATTTAAGCTCTCCTCTTTACATGGCCAAGCCCTAGCTGCTTTTGAAGTTGTATGGCTCAATTCAAATTCTGTCTCCCTTATGGCCAGCATAATCTTTCAACCAAAAGAAATTGCTCCTTTTTCTAAAATCTTATTTTATTTTGCACCTCCCATAAGAGATGTGTTAACTTCCAACTTGTATCCATCATAAGTACCTCTTCCTACCTTGGGAAGACTCTGTAAGGCAAACCTTTGGCTAATGCATCTTTATATCTTCAGTGTATTTGTATCTAAAAACTAGTAAAAATTTTAAATGAGAAGAGACTATAGTGTTTTTTTTTTATTGTAGTAAAACATACATAACATAAAATATACCGTTTTGGGGGCGCCTGGGTGGCTCAGTGGGTTAAAGCTTCTGCCTTCGGCTCAGGTCATGATCTCAGGGTCCTGGGATCGAGCCCCACATCAGGCTCTCTGCTCAGCGGGGAGCCTGCTTCCTCCTCCCTCTCTCTGCCTGCCTCTCTGCCTACTTGTGATCTCTGTCTGTCAAATAAATAAAATCTTTTTAAAAAAAAATACCGTTTTAAGTGTATAGTTCTGTGGCATTTAGTACATTCACATTGTGCTACATATTTGGTTGGGTTTTTTTTAAATATTTTGTTTATTTATTTGACAGACAGAGATCACAAGTAGGCAGAGAGGCAGGCAGAGAGAGAGGGAAGCAGGCTCCCCGCTGAGCAGAGAGCCCGAATCGGGGCTCGATCCCAGGACCCTGCAATCATGACCTGAGCTGAAGGCAGAGGCCTTAACCCACTGAGCCACCCAGGCGCCCCTACATATTTGTTTTCAGTTTTTTTTGTTTTTGTTTTTGTTTTTGTTTTTGTTTTCAGTTTTTTTAATCTGACTTCTCACATGCATGGAACCTGGATAATTCTTTTGGAAGGAACTCCTTGATGTAGATTTGTGAAAGAGAGTTCTCTCTCTCTCTCCAGACCCCCCTTTCTTTCTTTTGGCTTTTTTTTTTTTTTTTAGAGCAGATGTTCTCTGCAAATAGTTGTCAATTTATTCTGAATTCAGACTCTTACAAGCTTGCTGCCATAGTTGAGGTGTGTATTTTTGGATTACAACAATTTAACAGATCCCCCTATAGTGTGAGTTGTAAATGGGTATGAGCCACAGAGCATAATGGAAATGGGGAAATGATACATCATAATGCTAATCTCAGAGTCTTGGCAGAATAAAATTAACATGAATTTTTAGCTCTTCTTAAGGATGAAAAATAGCTTCGCATTCACATTCATCCTAATAAATGTTGAACATTTAAACACTTTTGGTATATGTTTATGGAAGAGCTTGTTCAGAATTCTTTCTGGAAATTTGTACAGAGAATTCATGTTCTTTCAAGAAGCTTGGATATAAATGATGATTTCCAGTGAAGCAGAAAAATAACTTAGAGTATTGTTATTTGTGGTAGAATTTTCTTCAATCTTATACCGTTTTCCTGTTATTGAAAGTCTTACTGTGTTCCAAGTTCCTTGGCAGATTTTCTTGATACCCATTATTATAGAATCTTGTGATGCTTTATGGTCGTTAAGTGTCAAAGGGCCTAAAGGCCAAGGAGGTAGAAGCATTTCTTACAATTCAAAGATGTTGAAACGTGCTGTAGTGAAGTTGTGTGTGTACATATGTATTACATATGTATTAGACTTTCTTTTCTCTTTTTTAAAAGATTTTATTTATTTATTCGTCAGAGAGAGAGAGAGAGCGTGCGAGCGAGTGAGCATGAGCAGGGGGAGTGGCAGAGGGAAAGGGAGAAGCAGGCTCCCTGCTGAGTAAGGAGCCCAATGTGGGCCTGGATCCAGGACCCTGGGATCACAACTTGAGTTGAAGGCAGATGCTTAACCAACTGAGCCACCCCGGTGTCCCTGTATTAGACTTTCTTAATGTTTATTTCAAAGCAGGTAATGTTTGAAGGGTCCAAAGTAGTTAATCAACTCAGCACATGAGCTAGAGAGTTTGAAATCTAGTTTATCTTTCTGATTTTTTTTAAAGATTTATTTATTTATTTTGGAGAAGCATAGAGTGTAAGAGACAGAGAGTAGGGGGAGGTATAGAGGGAGAGAAGCTTTAAGCAGACTCTCTTCTGAGCACAGAGTCTGATGTGGGGCTTGATCTCATGACCCTGAGATCATGACCTGAGCTGAAATCAAGAGTTCAACACTTAAGTGACTGAGCCATAAGGGCACCCCTATCTTTCTGATTCTTTGAATGTATTATTAGACTGAGACCCTCCACCCATGTTTTAGCTTTCCCTCTTAAAGAATATTGAAGGTAAAATGCTGGTAATAGAAAAAAATAATGTGTGGTCATGTAACTATATCCTTATCACATGATAATGAGTTTCTGTCTTATAATATCTAACTTAGTATGGGTTCTCTAATTAATGTTTAATAATCTCTCTAATTAATGTTTTTTTTTAAAGATTATTTATTTATTTATTTGTCAGAAAGAGAGAGAGAGAGAGCACAGGCAGACAGAGTGGCAGGCAGAGGCAGAGGGAGAAGCAGGCTCCCCACAGAACAAGGAGCCCGATGTGGGACTCGATCCCAGGACGCTGGGATCATGACCTGAGCCGAAGGCAGCTGCTTAACCAACTGAGCCACCCAGGCGTTCCTCTAATTAATGTTTAAATGGATTTTTTAACTCCAGCTATATTTGCAATGATTTTTTTTTTTTAACTTTTTCATTGATAAACCAACTTTTTCCTTTTCAGCTGGGGCCAGAACAGCCACATGAGAAGATTCTGTCTTGTTGACAGTGAAGCAATTAACTTACATGGGTTCGGGCCTGTAAATAATCTCCCATGGTGCCTGGGGCATAAGATACGCTCAGTAAATGCTAGATCTTGCCCACATATTGAAAATAGGGTCCCTTGCAGATGCTTTGGGTCTTTGGGAAGAGTATAAGGGCTTGGTGTTGGCTCCTTGAGAAGGAGGGTGCACCAGGCCAGGCAGACACTCAAACCGCCCTACCCCCGCCCCGGCATTTCTCAGAAGGAGCAGCCTAAGCAAGAAAGCTCTAAGTGGTCCATACAAGGGCTCTCCTTACCCATTGTTACAGAATTTCATTTAGATCACAAACAACAGAGCAGAAAGTAGGATTCAAATCTTAAATAGTTGGTTGCCATGTTTACTGACTCTCTCTGAATCTCTAGTATGTGCCATATGTTCTAAAGATAAAGGAGCGAAGGGAGTAAGCAGCTTTTCCTTCTCCTCAGGGAGGAGCTCAGACCAAAGGAGACCATATGTCCCATAAATTCTGTGATGAAGCTACTCAAGTGGAAAACAGGTATTAAGAAACTAGAGGATTCGGGGTGCCTGGGTGGCTCAGTGGCTTAAGCCTCTGCCTTCAGCTCAGGTCATGATCTCAGGGTCCTGGGATCAAGTTCCACATCAGGCTCTCTGCTCAGCAGGGAGCCTGCTTCCCCCCACCCCGCCCCTGCCTGCCTCTCTGCCTACTTGTGATCTCTATCAAACAAATAAATAAAATCTTGGGAAAAAAAAACATTAGAGGATATGGTCACCTGACTCAGTCTGGAGAACAGAGAAGACATCTCTAAGGAAATGACTTTGAAGAGGAGACCTGAAACACCAGAAAGAATGTGCTCTCACTTGCCTCAGGTTCTCTGCACTTGGCCTTTCCCTTTTCTTCCTGGGAGATACTCCCACATCCTCTCCCCTCCTGCTACCCGATACTACTGTTAGCAGTGAATTCGAAAAAAATGTTTTACAGATAGCAGGTAGCAATCCATGAGTCATAAAGTTAATTCAGTGAGTAGTAATCCAATTTTAAACATAAATGTTGAAATGTTAGATATTTTTTATTTAGCTCCCATTTTTTTAAGGTTTTATTTATTTATTTGACAGAGACAGAGCACAAGCTGGGGGAACAGCAGGCAGAGGGAGAAGCAGGCTCCCTGCTGAGCTAGGAGCTTGATGTGGGGCTTAATCCCTGGACCCTGGGATCATGACCTGAGTCGAAGGCAGATGCTTAACTGCCTGAGCCACACAGCCCCCCCCCAATCCCATTTTCTTTTTTAAGTGCAACTAAATATGAAGAAAATTTGAAAAACTAGGATTGAATAAGGGCTTACCTTACGGAGTTACCACAATACCTTGTGGACTTACAATGAACGTTAAGTAAGTTTACATGTGTTCCATACACATTTAAGAGAGCTTTTAGTGACTTTTTTTCCCCCTCTGCCTCTTTAGGACCACATCTTGGAAAAGGATGCCTTGTTTTGATGATTATGTTAGTTTTACAATTTCCAGAATAAATAAAATAGGTTCAGAAAAAAGTACAGCTAATTTAATTTCTTTGTATTTGAAAGGAAGGTAGTCCCTGCTCTCATTTTTTGTTTCAATACCAGGCGATTTCCATAGGAAGATGTTATGCTGACATAATTCTGAGATGGTGAAGTTATGTCAGAACTTTTTATTTATTTTTAAATCTATTGTTTATTTTTTAAGATAAATAAATAAGTAATTTATTAATGAGTGATCCACGCAGGACATGGGGCCTACTGTGGGGCTTCAACTCATGACCCTGAGATCAAGACCGAGCTGAGATCAAGAGTCAGATGCTTAACTGACTGGCGCCCCAGACCAGTTTTTCAAATGAATCAACATGGAGCCCTTCAGTCATTCCTTTCCCTGATTCCAAACGTAGTATTATTTGTGTGGCCACAGTGTATTGTTTTGAGGGTTGAAAATTCCACGTGGAGTAACATTTCCACTTATTTCTATTAATTTCCCTTCCCCTCTAGATTTCACCACCCCATCCTCAGTCCTTTGGAAAGCAGTTTCCAGCTGGAAGTGGACGTCCTGAGTCATCTCCTGAAGGCCCAGGCTCAGGTCTCGGAGTGGAAGTTCCTCCCGTCCCTGGTGAACTTGCACAGTGCTCACACCAAGCTGCAGACTTGGGGCCAGATCTTTGAAAAGCAGCGGGAGACCAAGAAACATCTGTTTGGAGGGCAATCTCAGAAGGCCGTTCAGCCCCCACACCTTTTCCTCTGGCTGATGAAACTCAAAAACATGCTTCTTGCCAAGTTTAGCTTTTACTTTCACGAGGCACTGAGCCGGCAAACGACTGCTTCAGAAATGAAAACGTTGACTGCAAAAGCCAACCCAGACTTTTTTGGAAAGATTTCCAGCTTCATCAGGAAGTATGACGCTGCCAATGTGTCCTTAATCTTTGACAACCGAGGTTCTGAGAGCTTTCAGGGTCACGGCTATCACCACCCCCATTCCTACAGAGAGGCCCCTAAGGGTGTGGACCAGTATCCAGCTGTGGTGTCTCTGCCCAGCGACAGGCCCGTCATGCACTGGCCCAATGTCATCATGATCATGACAGACCGCATGTCCGAACTGAACAGCTTGGAGAAGGTGGTCCACTTCTATGATGACAAAGTTCAGAGCACCTACTTCCTAACCCGCCCGGAACCTCACTTTACAATTGTCGTCATCTTTGAATCAAAGAAATCTGAAAGAGACTCCCACTTTATTTCCTTCCTCAATGAGCTCTCACTGGCCCTCAAGAACCCCAAAGTTTTTGCGAGTCTGAAGCCTGGCTCCAAAGGCTAGCAGGTGGTTTGTGTGAAAGGTTCGCAAGACTGGAAGGTGTGTTCCTAATTGCTCTAATGATCTGCTGTGGTCTGTGATTAGAGTTTCCATCCATTCATGCTTCTTTCAGAGCTAAATTAAAGACAAATCCTCCCTAATTGTGTTGCACACTTTCTAAGCAATTAAGGCCAACTGAATTAAGTATCCAAAGAGTAATCCAGGAAGTGATCATGGCTACTGTGTCTCTCCGTGGTACAGCAGAGGACCTGCAGCATTTTCTCCTATTTTCCTGTGTTTCACGTAGACTGAATATTTATTAGCCTTTGGTTTTTCTTTCCACCTGTTTTACATTGTTCTAAACTTTGTTTTAATGCAATTCCAAATGCCTTCTCCTCTCCCCTCCTTGCAGGACCAGTAAATGGGATAAGATATTAAATGGCCTTTTCAGAAGGACTGGATGTTTTCTATCTCATAAATTAGCAAGTTAACATGAAATTAGTTTTATGTTTCTCATCCACTAATTAATATTTTGGATACCAAAATCAGTGTCTTGGTGAGAAATTTCTGTCGGTTACGGAAATTGAAGGTGAATCAGAATGGTCGCATAGCATCAGTTCTAACTGTTCAGAAGGCTCCCATGACTACTTTAACAGTCATGGGTTCTTTGGGGGTGATCTACACACCTAACTGCATTGCATTTACGCTTATAAATCAGAGCAACTTTTTCACTCTGTTTGAAAGTTAGCATAAGCCATAACATGGGGTTTCTTCACTCCTCCCCATGTCATCTACTTGGCTTTCTGTTTTTCACCTTTCTGCTGAGATGTATGTTGATGTTTGGCTCCACTCCCTGCTTATTCTTAGGCTGAAAAAGGATGACTACATCCTTTTTCAGCCACTTTTAGACATTCTTGCAACTTAGTCTGCTTTTCTAATATCAGAATGTTGGTATCAATACCTTGTACTTGCTAAACATCAATTGTGCATTCAAAAGACCTCTTCATAGTTGAGTAATCCATTCAGTACTTAATTTAAGCATCTCTGAACTTGGGTTTCAAGACTGTCTCCTCCAGATTATCCTCAGAAGCAGTGATACATCTTAACACATGCTGCCTTAACACTTTCCTTCGGTGGGTGTTCATCGGGACGTAGATGGACCCGTGAAGGCCTCACGGGCTATGGGGAACTTCACTTCTAGGTTATGATTCAGAATAAAAATAAGCCACAAAGAGTCACCGAGTTTTTACTATTTGTTGGTTCCTTCAGTGCTTGTATGCGATTTAGTGATCGGCTTATCCAGTTTCTCATGACCGCACAGAGCCAAGGTTTCCCCGGGCTGCCCCAGCAGTGGAGCTGGGGCTGGGCAGAGCTGCTCCCAGCCTGCACCGGGAGGCCTGCCCACCTCAGGCGGGACTATGTGCTGGAAGGACCTACTGGCCTATTTTCTATTTCTTTTCTTTTTCTTTTTTTTTTTTATTCACTCAGGTTCCATAAAAATCTGAACAACATCGAACTTACATAAAAAATTGAAAACAACTGGAACTAAAAAGTCAAATCGTTTTTCTTCCCTTTTGCGCTTTGCCAAGAAACTGAAAAGTATTCCTTGGTGTTCATGTATTATTTTTTGTCCTAGGTAAAACCATTAGCCTTAAGGATGTGGTCTCCCATGTACCTAAAAGAAATATGCTTCAGTGGAACATGGAAGAAGACTGTAAATAAAACTTGTATATAATATTTAAATAACCAATCCTTGTCTAGAACATATTTGAAATGTATATTTATTTTTAAACATATTTTGGTTCAAGCCAAGAAACAAAGTGATTCTACGCTGAGATTTGTTCTCTAAAATCAGTAAAGAAATGATCCATAAAGTCTGTATTTTGCTAAATGGAAGAGTAAATCCGCATATTATCTGCAGACTGTTTACTTTGAAATTGTTTCTAAACCACAACTTGATGCGTTTTTACGTGTAACTGGAAGTGTGGGCAACGCTTACTGAGATCGCCAACATGTCCATCAAGGAGGGTTCCTTTCAGGATGCCCTTTGGATGCAGGGTGAACGTTCACAACTCTGTCCCCTTGGGTCCAACCTGGCATCTGATGACGTCATTTTAGGGTGTGTGTGAACATACAGTCGTCTCCCCTTATCTGCCATTTTGCTTACCTCGGTTTCAGTTATCTGCGGTCACCACAGTCTGGAAGCTGAAAGCTGGGGTTCTGCCTCCAGACGAATTATCGGGAGGTCAGTCATAGTGTTTCGCTACATCACAATGCCTGCATCGTTCACGTCCCTTTATCTCGCTGCATCAGCATGCTGTCATCTCATGTCATCCCGAGAAGGGAGAGTACCCTACGGTAAGATTTTCAGAGAGAGACAGACCACACTCACATAACTGGAATTACAGTATAGTGTTATAACTGTTGTATTTTATTATTAGTTGCTGTTACTTCTCACCGTGCCTCATTTACACATTACACTTTATCATAAGTATGTGAGTATAGGAAAGATCATAGTATATTTAGAGCTTGGTACTGTGCAGTTTCAGGCAACTGCCTTGAACGTACTCCTCGCAGGTCAGGCGGGACTCCTGTATAGCTGGATTCTTAACTGAGGAGCCGATACCCTTACATTATTTCTCTGTGCATTGGAACATCTCATAGAAAATTTACTTACAGGAAAGAAAATAGTTGGTAACTCACTGCCCTTCTGCAGAGCCACTCATGGGATCATTAGAAAACGTTCGCCCTTTGATCTAGCAGCAAACTTGCCTTGTGTTTTGGCTTATCAGCCTCTGAGCTTGACTTTCTCATCTGTAAAATGGGAATAAGGAAACGCAGGCTGCTGCTTTCAAAGGCTGTGTAAGAATGGAATGACATCATGCATGTAAAAAAGGCTTTGCAAGCTTACTTGGGTTTGAAAACCGTATAAATAAAAGATGGCTCATTCTTTCCTTAAACTCAACACCTCTCCTGTTCTCGTCTTTCTCTTCAGATCTGGGGCATATGTGTGCTTGCTTCATCACTGTGTTTGAACAGTACTTAACTAATTTAGAAGAGGAGGCAGAGAGATGCCTAAGCCACTCACCCTCCCTTCCCTCTCTCCTTATTTTAGAATCCTTGCGGTTCTTTGTTCCTAAATTTTTATGGCTGGTTGATAGCATCACTTTAGTTCTATAGTCTGACTGATTTTTTTTCTTTTTCTTTATGGGTGGGGTCCAGTTGCTCTTTTAATTCCCAAGTGAGGTGTGTTAAAATCTCTGTGATGGTAGATGTCTTCCTTTATTTCTGTCAGTTTCTTGCATCTTGTATTTTAAAGCCCTTTTCTTAGACCCAGAGACATTTTTTTTTTCTTTCTCACGTATCAGCCATGTTATTGTGATGAAGTTTCCTGCTTTATCTCCATTACTGCTCCTTGCTTCGAAGTGCATTTTGCCTTTTTTTTTTTTTTTTTACAACCCAGCTTACTTATACTTACTGTTCACATGGTGTGTCTTCTCCTATCCTCTCACTATTTGTATCATTATTTTTAAAGCGTCTATGGTAAGAACTAGAGAGAGAAGACTGATTAAAAAGAGCAATGGCCACCTCTGTGTGCTGCATTCTGACCCACTCTGCCTTCTGATTGAAGTGTTTAATGCATTTCATTTCAGACCTGTTAAGTTTTTACAATCAGGACTTCGCTGATGGTATCCCCTCAGCCAGCACTGAGCATGCTTTTTCATCTTTTTTTTTCCTTTTTTTAAAAAAAAAACTATATTTATTTATTTGACAGAGGTCACAAGTAGGCAGAGACAGAGACACAGAAAGAGAGGGAGAAGCAGGCTTGCTGCTGAGCAGAGAGCCTGATTCGGGGCTCCATCCCAGGACCCGAGCTGAAGGCAGAGGCTTAACCCACTAAGCTACCCAGGTGCCTCTCTTTTTTTTTCCTTTTATGTTGGAAGTTAGATTAAGAAGTTTGATCAGGGGGTGCCTGGGTGGCTCAGTGGGTTAAAGCCTCTGCCTTCGGCTCAGGTCATGATCCCAGGGTCCTGGGATTGAGCCCCGCATCGAGCTCTCTGCTGGGCGGGGAGCCTGCTTCCTCCTCTCTCTGCCTGCCTCTCTGCCTACTTGTGATCTCTGTCTGTCAAATAAATAAATAGAATCTTAAAAAAAAAAAAAAGAAGTTTGATCAGATTTCTCTCCTTTTTTTTTTGGTGTGCCTGTTATGTATTTTATTGGGAGATAGCTAATATCTGGCATTATACCGGCCTGGCATCCCCTAACTCATAATTTTAAAAACTGGCAAGTGGGGTGCCTGGCTGGCTTAGTTGGTAGAGCATGTAACTCTTGATCTCAGGGTTTTGAGTTTGAGCCCCACATTGGGTGTGTAGAGCTTACTTTAAAAAAAAAAAAAATCTTAAATAATAATGAATTGTATCTTCCTGAGATACTAGGGAATTTTTAAGGAAATGTTTAAGAATGGGGTGCCTGGGTGGCTCAGTGGGTTAAAGCCTCTACCTTTGGCTCATGTTATGATCCCAGGGTCCTGGGATCGATGCCCCGCATCAGGCTCTCTGCTAGGAGGGGAGCCTGCTTCCCTCTCTGTCTGCCAGTCTCTCTGCCTAGTTGTGATCTCTGTCTGTCAAATAAATAAATAAAATCTTAAAAAAAAAAGTAATGTTTAAGAATATATGAGGATTTCTGCCTTCTGCCTTAAATTTAACCCCAATTTGAAATAAGGCAGCCATTTTTTTCCCCTTATCACAAGATACTTCTGTGTAAATGTTATGATCTTCCTTTATTTCTTCCTCCTGGTTCATTTTCTTCTCTCAATTACTATTGATTATTTTCCTCTGCTTTTCTCCTTCCTCTCTTCCTCCTTCCCTTTGTTTCTACCTTCCTCACCAATTCTACTTAGTCACTTTTCCCCATGCCTCAGGGCTCCAGGACATAGCCCAGGGATCTCTGACCCAGTTTTAGAAAGCCATACTTGAAATTATGCATCTCGATTGTTTTTAAAACTAGTCTTTTTCAGGCAGTGACAAAGGAATACATAGAGGGGAAATAGTACAGACACGAATGGGTGACGACAGTTAAGCCCAGTCACTTCATGAGCCCACAACACATCAGCCAACTACAGCCAAGGAGTGCTGTGTGTATCCAGCAGCTTATGTGGCATTTTTTAATTTTTGGTGTGACAACATACGGTGGTGCAGGACACCCCTTGACCGCACAGCCATCCCTGGGTCTCAGTCACCCCAGGTTAGGCCAGTGTTAGAGCAGTCCTAAAGCAGCAGCCGACAGAGGATATGCATGGCTGCTTTCTAGTAGCCAACATTGATTCATGTAACAACTATCAAGAACCAGCTATGCGAAGGACGGTGATACAGCTGTCGACCATGACCCACACAGGGCCCGCTTGGCTTGGCTGGTAGTGAGGTGAGCTGACTCCAGGCACCCTGCAGGCTTAC